TTTCCCCGTGGTTGGGGATATCCGATATCCAGCCCAAGAGCAGCCCGGCAGAGTGAATTTTCATCTGCAGCAGTGAGAAATTACCAAGAAAAAAAMCAGTTTGTGGCTAAACAGCTTAGCTAAATTTGCAGATCTGGAAGTTTCTTCCAGGGTGATGGGGGCTGTTGGACCCAGCTCTCCATAACGTGCCTGCAGAGCGAGGTTGATCTGAGAAGCAGAGGGGCTTTCAATGCATCTATTTATTTATTTGTGTGCCCTGGGCCCTGCCCTCCTCTCCATCTCGTCCCGCTATCCAGTGACCCTTGGTGCTGATTAAAGTTCCCAGATGACCTCTGAGTGCTTTGGTTACCCTGGCTGGTAATAAAACCCCGGGTAAACGGCTGGCTTATCCAAACCGGCGGCTSCAGGGGCAGCTCGGCTCCGAGCCCTTAGCCAACCGTGCCCGCTGCACGGAGAGCTGCCCGGGGCTGCCCGTCCTCCCTTGGCCACTGCTCACCTTCCTCATCCTCACCTGCACGGCTGAGGAAGGGGGCAGCTCCATGACCCCCTCACAGGTGTCCTGGGACCACCTTTTTGATTATAGTGATACCCAGCATAAGCCCGAGCGCTGGCCTTGTCCCAGCAGAGTCATGATGGGGCGTGATGCTCGAGGGCTCTTCTGGTACCGGACCTAAATCTTGTGCAGTGTCCGTGTTGCGGTTCCTAAGGGGCCGTTCTCAAAGCCCAATGCTCATTCATCACCCCAGGAACCCGTAAGGAGCTCCCTCACCCTGCCTGGAGATGCAACCACACTTCCAGGAATGATGGTGTGCAACGTGAACTCGGCCCTGGGTTCAAAATATTATGCAGAGGAATAATAAATCTCAGCTTTAAATTGCCACCCCATTTAAGCTTTGATTAGACTCTGATGGTCTGTTCACCCCGGAGCTGCTGGTATTAATCTGTACGCTAACCCTAATTATAAACCGCTCGTGGCATTTCCAGATGATATCAAGATGTTTGGGATTAAAAGAAACCCTGATGTTGAGTTTACAGCTTAAAATGACTGCAGACTACCTGATCCCCACAGATCTAATAACACACTTCTATGCGGGGAAGAGAAGAAGGAAAAAGGGGGAGATCTGGCCCAAGGGGGTAGCAGGAGCCTGTGGCAGAGAGGGCTGGCTGGAAATGTGTGCATGCATGGCCAAAGGCACATGTGTGAGAAGTGATATACCTCTATGGTATAGGGAGAGAACGTATACACCTATATGCACACATGTGGTCCTGCAGGTGCTCTCTGCCTGCAGCTTCATGTAGCTCTAATCCAGCCCTGGGTGAAACGGCAAAGAGGCTTGAGATGAGATGTTTGGATGAAATCAGGAAGGGAGGAAAACTTTGTGATGGGACGGGATGCGATAGGATGGTATGGTAATGGTAATGGTAATGGTAATGGTAATGGTATGGTATGGTATGGTATGGTATGGTATGGTATGGTATGGTATGGTATGGTATGGTATGGTATGGATGCAGCCTGAGAAGTTGCCTGTGATGGAGACTTGCTCTGATTTGATGTCTCAACAGCCTCCAGTTGCTGGAGCTTTGAGGAAGACGGGGATGAAGGCTTCTCAGAGAGACTCTCAAGGAGCTGCTTTCCAGTACAGCTGCTTCTTTGGGCCTAGAAGAGGAGTGAGCATCGTTCATGCCCTCCAGCCCTCTGAGTATGGGGCTTCTTTGCCCAACCCATCTCAACTGCAGGCACCCGGCCCACGTTATCAAGAGAGCAGCACCAGAAAGCTCTCAGCGTGTCTCTTAACACTCCTTGGTTAAGGCCAAGGAGTGCAGAGAGGTGTATATTGGGGTGCCCTAGGGAGGCAGGCTTGTGCGATGCTGGTTTTGAACAACTAGACTGAACCAAACTTGACAGGTTCTACAACAAAAAAAGGACTCTACAACATTAAATGCTGACAAGTTTCATGAAAATAAGGTCGGGCAAAGAGCTCCAAGTTAGTTTCTGTCTCTAAGCAAAGCACTTCACCTGAGCTCAATGAGAGCTGAGAGCTGGAAATCCACACCTGTGTGGCACAAGTGCTTCCCCTTGGTGTCTAATTCAGCTAGAAGACAAGTTATTTAGGACACCTGAAAACCTGAAACAAGTGGAGAGTGTGAAGAGGTGCCTGGGTGTGTGATGTAGTGGTCTACCTTCTCCCTTCTCTGGCTCTATCTTTGATAGGGACTGACAGGCCAGCAAGGTAGTCATAAGAAGGTAACGTCCTTTAGGGATTGATTGAACTTGATAATTTTTTTCCCTAAGATTTTACCAGGATGAAAGAAATGGCTAAAGAATGGATATTTCATCTTTATCCTGTAAAGAGTTTCTAACTGCAGTGTGAAGTGTCAAATTAGGAAAGGTCTTTGGGCACCATAACTCAGCTGGAAGTTCAGAGCTTGTCCTTCGCTCCTTTGCTTTCCTCGTCTTTCTGCATCTCTCTCTGYTCTGTTACTGGTCTTTTGCTGTTGGTCTTTCAGGTTTGCTTTGGTTTCTTGATGGATGAGGTTGCTAGAGGCCAATTCCTGCCTGTATGGTCTTGTCCAGGTTACAGGTTATGCCAATTCTTGGGCATACAGAGAGAACCTCCCAAGCCCTCCACCTCCTGCTCGCCGTCCCTGGGTAAAGAGGATGGGTGGAAGCTGTCTCAAGCTGTATGTGACTATTTTCTGCATGTGACAAGGTCTCTTTCCCTCCTCCTACCAGTTGCCTCTTCCTTTGGTTGATGCTCAATGCCACAGAACATTATATCAAAAAAAAAAAAAAAAAAAAAAAAAAAAAAAGGAGGAAAGAAGAAGAAAAAAACATGTTCTGTTGCTCACTTCCCTTGGTTTTATTTCCTCTATGCCTCCATCCCAGCCCACCTGCTGTCTCTGTGTCTCCCTTGGACTTCCCAAGGATGGGATGTGCTCTCTGTGGAGCTGGGTATCATGGACTATATTGGCCTGAGCTAGTGCCGAATAGGGCACTATCCCCACAAGGGGCTGAGTTTGCAAGTCCCTAGGAGGGAGGGTAATCTAAAGGATGCCCTTAGATGTAGGGACAGCTGGAGATTTCAGGGCAGATAGAGGAGGAAACCAAGGAGCAAAGGCAGCGAAGAGCTCTGCTGTGAAGGACACTGGGCCAGAGGAAGGAAGAGACACGCGGCTCCTTCACGTGCTGCGGTCACAGGCCCCCAGGCAAATGCTTCACATGGTTGGGAAGATGCCTGTGGGGCCTATSCAGGCTGGAAGGAGGAGAAGAGGAATGATTGACCCTATGGAGGGATGGAAGAGGCTGCTCTTTCCCTTCCAGTGACCTCGCTTGCAGCCCCTCAGCCTCTGGGTGAGGGCTGCCTGCTGCTGGTGGTGGCTCGGGAAGGGTTCATTGCCCATCCTCTGAGATCTGGACCTGTCCCCAAATTTGGGGGGTAGGGGTGAATGCCCTGACAGGGAACTTCCTAGCACCCAGCCATAAAAAGTCAGGTCATTTGTGACATCTATTGAAGGCAAGTTGGGAAGAGAGAGAGAAAAAGTAAAGCTAGGCTCATCCAGAAGGAAGGCAGCCAAATCCCAGGGAAAGAGGGAAGGAGAAGAGGCGAGAGAAAAAAAAAAAAAAAAAAAAAAAAAAAAAAAAAAAAGGCATTTCATGAGATGGGCAGCTCCTGGGAGCATGTGCAAACACCCATCTTCTGAGTGAGTGGATGCACCCTGCTGCACGCATAGGTGTACACAGCATTTTGGGTGCACAAGCACCCCACGCACACGTGTGCAGCCTCCCCTGGAGCCCGCCTTGCAGCTCTGCTCTGGACTTGGGCCAGCTCTGCCCGGCCCTGGGCCGCTCSGTGGCCCTGGCAGGCTCGGCTGGGTCCTTGAGCCTGCAAAGGGTAAACCGGGACTKGGGGGGGAGGAAAAGGTGGGGGGCTGCAAGCAAACTAATGATGAAAATGTCTCCTCCATGCCTGTGCCTTAATTAAATGCATGGAGAGGCTCAGGGAAGCACATCTGTTTTCAATCTGGAGCCCTTTGATGGCATCAAATGTTCTTTCCCCGGCTCAGGGGGGATGGAAATTCTGGGCTGGCTGTGGCAGCTCCGAGGCCAGGCTCCAGCCATGGGGACGCGTGGGCCTTTCTGGGGACGCGTGGGCCTTTCCCGGTCGCCGGGACCGTGTGCTGCCCGGCCAGCCCCGCTGCATTGGGTGTCCTGCAGCAGCCAGCGAGGCCGCGGGCTGCCTGCCCCGGCCCTGGGGACCGGCCTAGCCCAAGTGCTGGGTCGTGGGACCTCTTGGCCTGCTGGGCCTGGGAGCTCTGTGTATCCTCTGCCTCCTCATCCAGGCTCTCTCTGTTGCTTCTCTCTTTAGGTTTCTTTTCTCTCTCTTCTGCTCTCTTGCTGTTGCCCTTGCTTCTGTGGGTCTTGTCTGTCTGTCCTGTCCTAGTTTTCAGTTGCACTTTTTCCTCTCCTTTTATTCCCCACTCCTCGCTGCCCATTCCTTTCTCGCCCCTCTTCTCTCTTCTGCTTCTCTTTGTTATATATATATAATATATATATATATATATATTTTTTTTTCCCCAGTGTTTCTCATTTTCACTGTTTYCCCCTCTCTGCTCCCGTTGACGGGTGCCGCATGGAGCCACTTTTCCCCGTGCCCGGGACAGGGCGGGGGGCCCTGCGCATCCCCGGGGAGCGCGGCGGAGCCGGGACCCGGGCCGGGCCGGGGGGG